CTTTCGATACCACGAGATCGTCAACAAATACATCTCGACTACAGCCATCAACTGCCTTCTGATATTTGGCCTACGGAGGATCTTCTCGTGTAACCAGCACGTAGCCTTCCTGAAGTGGTGATCATAGTCAACCGCGACTGAACGCCACATTACACGTTATCGCTCAAGATCGTGTGATTTTCAATAGTGTAGTTGGACAACGGAGGAGTCGAGATTCGAACTGGCGTCCACGGTCTGTAGTGATAGTTGAAGGGAAGTTGAAGTTCGCTACCCACAGGTCGACGAAGGCATGGACCACCGTTTCAGCAGTAGTATCCTTGATGGGTGTTGCTTCTGGCCATCGAGTGAAACGGTCTACGCAAGTTAAGAGATTAGAGTGTCCATTTGAATCTCGTACGGGTCCTACCAAATGCAGATGAACTTGGTCGAAACGATCATTGGGAGTTTTAAATGAGCGTAAGGGACATTTATTGTATCTAATCATCTTAGATTTCTGGCAGCTTACATAGGAGCTTGCCCACTTCCTCACGCCTTTATCCATATGGGGCCAACAAATCATTCTACTTGGTGGTTGCACGAACACCGGAATGAGAAATACATGTGCGATGTGTTGAAGGCATTGAGTCGATAGTATTTCCTCAATATTGGACGATCCTTACCTGTGGATATGCCTCATAATAAGGTTTCCTTATCTGTCCTTTTCTGTTTAATACACAGTTTTAGGGTTGTCAAAGATAACTCGTCCCGAAGATCAGTGTCTTCTTTTGAAGCTGGGTGAGATTAAGGTCAATCCCTTGGAAGATGTTCGAGGAATAATACGAGACAAAGAGTCTGCAGTTACTTTGTTTGCCCCAGAAACATGCTGTATATCTGAAGTAAGCTGAGAAATGTAGTCCATTTGTCGAGACTCCTGAAGGTGGTACTTGTCTGGAGATAAACTGAAAGAGAGATAATAGGTTTGTGATCAGTGACTTTCCACAACAAGTAGAAAGTGCTGTACAGCACAACACATGACTAGGAGTTCCTAACCGTAAGTGCTGTACCTGGGTTCGGCGTCTTGCAAACGTTGTCTGTTTATGTTTTCACATCGTTGTAAGACTGCTCCGAATGCCTAGTTGAATGCGTTCACTGCGGTACTTTCCGTGTCTTTGAGTAACCCTCGTTGTATTTATACAATAAACCAGACTAGTGTTGAATAGGTCGTTATTTAAATTGTCACGCAGTCACATTGGAGCATGGGATTGCGTGCACAAACATACAAAGCTTCTCAACATTTAATATAAGATAATAGGAAATATAATGCCTATACAAAATAAGGAAGTGAATAGATAACTGAGCTCTATGGTTTTGACACATACTTCGTTGTTTGAGTTCAGATCTTAACCAACCATTCTAAGCTGTTACATTAGCTTCTCTTAAAATCCACGTTCGAAGGAACGTTGGTTCGATTAATCTTTCAATCAAGTACACCTTCGTTCTGTCTCCGCAGCCCAAAGTAGTACCACCAGGTCACTTAGCATTCGACTTCCAAATGATGGCCACTAACTCCGTCAGCAATCGACGATAGTCCATGGATGTCTCTTCATTTACTAGCTTGTCACCTTATTTTGCAGCATTTAATTTCTTCCATAACTATTGCTGACGGTTTGCTATGTGCCCTCTGTATGGTGATCAGAGCTTGCAAGAGAAAAGGGTGAAAAAATGAGGAAGAGTCGCAAGTGGGCTACCCAACACCATGTTGGTGAAGTACGATTTTTCCATGGTCTGTCTTGTTATCAGGTGTTTATTCACCTGTCTCTTGAGTCGCTCACTTACGCTCGTTACTCCGAGTGGAGCATAGGAAGCCGACTAGCAGTCTCCAAACTTACTGGGCCGTCAAAAGTGGGTAGTTGCGTGATTGTGGTAGGCTTAGGATAATCCCTAATGGTATCCACTTTGCTTTCCTAAGGGAGGATGATTTTAGCGACTAAAGTGTGTCTGAGAAAATCCTGCGAATCGATGACAATTAGATATCTGAATGTTGACGTTAATGCCGTGTTTATGCATTTGTGCTGGTTGCACAACAATTTTGGTCACGTCTGATATATCTCGGGGTAGGTATCGAGTATTTGCTAATAGTATGGATCGATCGTGTACCACATTGTGACTGCAGACGATCTACAACTGGAAAAAGTATTTACAGAAAAAGACAATTTAATATTTCCATCTACATACCTCCGTTTGCGAGTGTCGATGAATAGATTATAGTGTTGTGGCTGGTCCATGCAAATGATATGCATAGAAACATCTGCAACAATGATAATCCAATGAATGTGTTTGCGTAAACCCACATTAGGATTAACATATCGCTCACAATATGTGACGGTCGGTTTTCCATTCACCGCCTGTAATTTGAAAAGTGCTTCGTGCAGCCCATCGTTAGAAATTGTCGGAAGAACACTAACTCCTGCTCCAGTGTCGACGAGGTGGCGAACTTTCGTAATCACATCATTGATATATGGTAGACGACTATGTTCGCCGGCTACTATTGCCGTTATCACGTGCCGGTTGAGAAGGTTCTCGAGGCATATTTCCTGTCGGTTTGGAGTTTTAGTAACTGCAGGGTTTCCTGCAGTTTCACGAAAAGTCACCATAGTTACCGTGATACCAGCATCAATCGTGGCTTGCTATCTCTCGTAATCTGGAGACAGATTATTTACGTAAAGAACTCCCCTGAGGAGTTTCGGAATGTCTACAGTCATGAAGAATATTAAGGCGACTTGTCAGAGTTTAAAAAGGGCTTGTGAAGAATGAGACTTTTCTTTGATTGAACAGACCTTGGCGTTTGACGTTTTAGTGATCTCCACGATTCGGTCGACGGATTTAGCCAGCTCGCCTACAACACTATTTTGAAATGAGACAAGCACCGCCTGCACGTGTTGGGGAAGCTTGAACATGAAAAGGTATCTAAACTGGCGCTCGATGACCTCTAACATTCGCAGTAAACTGTCTGTTAATGAGCTATGTTATGGATCGAAATTGCTGAAGAGTTGATCTAACCTTTGTCGGTTGGTTAGATTTCCACGTCCAAGAACAGCGTTTCTTAAAGTTTCATAAAGTTCCAAAGTATCACTGGTAAACATACTAAGTGTGACGTACCTGCTGAAATCGTACAGTAGTGACTTTACTACTGTAAGGAATTTCGCACGTGGAAGTCAGCTTCTGTGTGGCAGAACCAGGCTTTGATGTTGTCGGGTCAAAATCGAATTAACTGAAGTGAGGGAGGCAGAAGAGTCTTTATCTTAGATAATCTAGGGGTCTGTATCTTCATGATGAGTATAAAATATACCAAAGAGCGAGGAAAAATATATGAACATATGAAAACAATATGCAAAGAATGACATCTAAGAAATATTATATTGTGGTAGGCGTCAAATCGCGATTGACTATGATCACCACTACAGGAATATTACGTGCCAGTTATAAGATTGGATCCCTCCGTAGACCAAAAACCAAAAGGCAATAGACGGTTATAATAAGATATATTTGTTGGCAATCTAATGGTATCGAAATATATATATATATATTTCTGCATGCGCAGGTACACGCCATTTTTACAGGCATGATCTATAAATTACAACACTTGTTGGTTCACAAAATGCTTCGCAACTTAATAATACCGAGATCATGCCAAAGTTTGCAAGCGGAACTACTGAGCGTACGCAAGTGTGTGCAAGGTCACAGAATGTATGTATTTAATACACTTAAATAAACAGGCACGGCAAAACAATCACTGGTACATATGGTATTAATAATAGTTGTTTCCATTTTATCAATCACGTTCTCTTCATAAAAGTAGGTCACTACAATATAATGATCCAACAAAAAACAGACCAACAGTTTACCGTCCAAAGTACTAAACCGCGTCGCGTCTAGCACTGAACGCGCTACAAGTGCTCAGAGTTTGACAACGTCTTAACTAAACTCTTTTAAAATGGAAATAAACCTACACAGACAAATCAGAAATTAAGCGGTTTGAATATATATTTATATATACCCGTATGTCGAGGAGAGTTTTGCCAAAGCTGGTTACCTGTTGCAAATGATGCGTAGCACGATGTGCACACTCGTGTTCTGGTACGAATGCGTGCAAGATCGCCTTTAGCTAGGTTGTGTTCAGTAAAACTGATGAAGCCAACATCAAATGTTTAGGACTTACAGAGCCATTGACTTTGGAGATTTATTTACCGTGTGGTGGTTCCCAGCAAAAAAAGCTGATACAAGATATATCGATACGCTAGATTAATAATAATATACCAAGAAAGTTAGCAGTCAAAACTCTAGGTGTCTGTCTGTGAGTAAAAACCAAGGGTAATAAAATATAGTTAAGATACAAATGGTAAGCTGCCTCGTGAGAATAACAACCACAAATAAGTTCACTTGATTGACGAAGGCTCCTCTCCAAGTGAGTGCACCAACGGCGTTGAAGATGGCACAGGTATTCAGTGTTTGACAACGCTTTTACCAGTAACATCTTCTAATATAATTCGTACCCACTAAGAGAAATTAAAAGACAGAGTCGAAGAGATCGGAAGAGTGTATTTGGCGATAACCAATATATCGGAATTCTCTGATCTAATCTGACTAGCGATTGCAGTAGCAGTTGAACATGGCGTTCCCACATGTGATCTGGTGCAGATGTATGACCAAGCGCCTTCAGGAGTCGAGTCCACTGAAACATGTGGTCAGCATCCAACGTCGAAAACTTACAGAGCTATTTATTTTGGGGATTTGTTTACCGCTACAGAGCATTGAGAAAAACAGAGTCCAATAGTATTATATCATAATCCGTGCTAAAAGTCCAACGTGGTGTCGAAAGGCCTAAAAGGAAGGGGAAGACAGTATTGCACAAGCGATACAGTACGATAGAAACGAAATTTGATTTTAAATTACTGATTGATTATTTGGACCATTAACTTGTTGCGCAGTTGCAGTCATTTGAAATATAATTATGCCGAGAATTTACACGCATCTTAGTAATCAGTTTACTCCAGATGCGATTTCGGCCAATAAATCTAGTCGCTCATCACACGCATTACGATGTTAGGCTAACTTACAAATGGGTCTCAAACCTGAAGTACTTCGAAAATGGAATGACTGTCTTTCAAGGTCGTTGTGCGAAAGAGAGGCAACTTCGGTTTCCACTTATAATCATGAGTCTTTCGGAAGATGAATCTACTTCAGATGAAGAATATATCCCTCCAGGTAGATATAACTCTTGGACTATATTTTTCAATATTTAGTTAAAGCTTCTAAATTGGAAGAAGACTCAGAAAGCGAATATAGCGATGAGTCAGAATCAGGAGATTCAGACTGTATTAGTGGTAAAATCATTCCCTCCCTAGATCTGTCCTTAGATAGTTTAACCAGTCAGTCAAGTAAAAAACGTCCTGCTAAAAGGTATGAATACAACTTAATGATGATTTAACCATTAGCTGATTATTTAGGAACTCGAAAAAATCCAAGGTTTGGTTATTAGTGTCAGTAATGGCCAAGTTTTAGATTACCGACTGTTCACCGCTTTCCACTACCGAGGATGTGAAAGCCTACGAAGATAAAGTGTGGAACGAGTTTCTAAAGTCCGATAGTACCGAGAAATCTGTAAGCACAGTTTTCCACGAATAACACATTAAAGAATAGCACTGAAAAAGTAAATGTTGTAAAAAAGTATCAGTTTGCTGGGGAGGAAGTTGAGTAAGTTCATGAGAATATCTCATATATAGTATTTCACTTCAATGTTTTCCCGTATGTACGTTTATTGACGGGTGACTTTAATAATGTGCATTCCACCATGTTAACAGAGTCGTGTCTAAATTTTGAAGTTACCTTTAAAGCGTAGCGTATTATAGGCCTGTGAAGCAGTGGCCTATTAAGTATTAGAAGCTAAGTTTTTTAGTTCCTTTCTCCATTACTCATTAAAATGAACTTTACGACGAATGCTATATAGCATATGCTGTTTATTAGTAAGTTGTCTAAACATTTTCCAAAAACATGGACATACGAAGTCACTTGCTTGTGTGATGTTAAGTCTTTCGGAGGCACAAATCGTAGATTACATTTTTAATGGTCGACAATTTGCTTCCATCGTACTTTCAGTTATATGTGGTCAGTAGTGCCAAAAGTTAACAAAGCTTATCATGTCTCGATCTGGTCTGATTATTATTATTTCTTGTATTCATGATGTTTTAAGCCAAGTCTGTGAAAATCAGCAACATCCAGATACGTAGTGCATTGTGCTAGACTTCAATCATTTCTAAGTAACGTTTCTTGATTAGGTATACATCACTGAGGCTAGACACTCGTTTAAATCACCAGCCTGTTCATACAGTGACTAAGATTGTCAAACGATAGCTGTTGGATACTACTAGTACTATGAGAAAGTAGATACATTACACTGTAGTTTTATTAGTTGTTCATAATAGCTTATGCTACTGACTACCAATTTACTGAGTTTGTAATGAAAATATTGTTGAAATTTGATTCCACGTTGATAGTAGATACAGACTACTTGGTTGGGGTCCGCGTGACTATCGTAACCAATGGTTGGAGACTATGTGACATGGCTCGGAATCGATCACAATGGCATAGGTGTATACACTCTTTGTCTTTGAACTATGAAATTAAAATCGCGTCATATTTTTCTTCCTACGAACTAATTCTTCCTGTACTATGTCTTTATATGCAATCTTTCTTTTATTGCTAGTGATGATGTCACAGGTATTCAGTGTTTGACAACGCTTCTACCAGTAACACCTTCTAATATATTTCGTTCCCGCCCAGAGAAATCAAAAGACAGAGTCGAGGAGATCGGAAGAGTATATTTGGCGATGACCAATATATCGGAATTCTCTGATCTAATCTGGCTAGCGATTGCGGTTGATGTTGAGCACGGCGTTACCACACGTGATCTGGTGCGGATGACTGACCGAGCGCCTTCAGCTAGGTGAGTCCACTAAAACATATGGTCAGCATCCAATGTCGAAAACTTAGTGCTATTTATTTTGGGGATTTATTTACCGCTACAGATCACTCCCCCCCTAGTGGGGCAGTGACGACCCTAAGACGTGGCCAGCCAGAAGTTTAAACCCAACGAGTTTGTCGTTGGTAAACACTCTTCTGATAGCTTACTAAATTTAGCAGCGTCTGGTCGTCTTTCCTTACTATATGGGACGGAGGTACAACATAGTAAAAAAAGAAAATGTACATGGAAAATTTCGGATCCTCATAAACGTCATCGTTCTTTTCCAGCCGTCCTGGAAAAGAAAAAAGAAAATGTAAGTGCATGTCGAAATACACTCGTATGTGCGTCAAAGCACAATGTCGGCGGAAAAAAAAATGGAAAATAAACTCATGAACACGTAATAGCGTTAAAAAAATTGTTTTTTTGTTTTGTTTTTTTTTTAAATAGAAATAAAAATATATAAGCATATTAAAATTGTTTTTTTTTAAAAAAAATAATATAAAATGTCGAGAAGTGCCTTACGTGCAATAGTCGTTTAGATGTTCTGGAAATCTCACCCTTCTTCCAGAACGCGTCGTTTTAAGTTTATTTTCGGATACTGTCGAAGTATCATCGTGTGTGTTGGTTGTCGGATGAGGTATTATAAGTGTCGGAGTCGTGTCGTTCAATTGTACCGAAGGAAAATCCACGTAGATAGGATTTCCTTCTAAATACGCTGCTTTTAAGCGATCGATACTGATGCTATCGTTGGTTCCGTTCTTATCGACTATATAGTACTTAGATTCACGTTGAAGAACTTTGAAGGGTCCTTCGTATGCTGATTCGAAGGGTCGTCGATGCGAGTCTCGACGAACGAAAACGTGTGTACTATATCGTAAGTCAGGTTGAACGAAAACATCAGTCGATTGAGGTCGGGTGGAAGCAGGTTTAACTGAACGCATTGCGTTTGTAAGCCTGTTCGTGTAGGAGGTTAGATCCATGTTCATTGAAGAGGATGAAGGATCCACGAATTCTCCTGGAAGTCGAAGTGTCGTACCATAAACGAGTTGAGACGCAGTGTATCCAATGTCAGCTTTCACTGCATTGCGGATACCTAGTAAGACGAGTGGAAGAGCGTCGGTCCACTGTGAAACGTTTGTAGCTGATAGCGAAGCTTTCAGTTGTCGGTGAAAACGTTCTACCAACCCGTTTGCTTGTGGATGGTAGGCGGTCGTTCGGAAGCGAGTGCTTCCTAAAAGAGTGGTCAGACGACGGAAAAGATCAGATTCAAATTGACGTCCGCGGTCTGTAGTGATGGTTGAAGGGCAGCCGAAGTTTGCTACCCATCGTTCGACGAAGGTGCGAGCCACTGTTTCAGCAGTGATGTCCTTGATAGGTACTGCTTCTGGCCATCGAGTGAAACGGTCTACGCAGGTTAAGAGATAAGAGTATCCATTTGAATCTGGTAAAGGTCCTACCAAATCCAGATGAACATGGTCGAAACGAGCATCGGGAGTTTTAAACGAGCCTAAGGGACATTTGTTGTGTCTGATAACCTTAGATTTTTGGCAGCTTACACAGGAGCGTGCCCACTCCCTCACGTCTTTATTCATTCCAGGCCAGCAAAACCTTTCTGCTATAAGCTTGATGGTTGCACGAACACCTGGATGCGAAAGTTTGTGCAATGTGTTGAAGACATTGCGTCGATAATGTTTCGGCACGATTGGGCGATCCCTACCTGTAGATGTGTCACAAAGTAAGGTTTCCTTACCTGTTCCCATCTGTTTGATGCGTAGTTTAAGTGTTGTGGACGATAACTCGTGCTGAAGATCAGTGTCTTCTTTTTGAAGCTGGGCAAGTTTCAGAAGGTCGATTCCTTGGAAACTGTTCAAGGAAGTTATACGAGATAAAGCGTCTGCAACTACATTGTTTGCTCCAGAGATGTGTTGAATATCTGAAGTAAACTGCGAAATGTAGTCCAGTTGTCGAGACTCACGGGGAGAGTACTTGTCAGAAGGAGAGCTTAACGAGAAAGTGAGCGGTTTATGGTCCGTGAAAAGAGTGAATTCACGACCTTCGATGTAGTGTTGAAATGCCGTACAGCACAATACATAGCTAGGAGTTCCCTACCGAATGTGCTGTACCTCGATTCGGTGTCTAGCAACCGTCTAGAGAAAAATGCCAAGGGTTCCCAGGAGTTGTTAACCCATTGTTGTAAGACTCCTCCGATTGCCGAGTCGGATGCGTCTACTGCGATGCTAATGGGTGCTCGGGTGTCCTGATGTGCGAGCATTGTTGCTTTAGCAATCAGTTCCTTAACTGTGGAGAATGCTTTTCGTGCGGTTTCGTCCAAATTAATGGATTTCGCATTTCCACGAAGTTGGTCGGTCAGAGGTTTCATGAGTAATGCGCATTTCGGTATGAAACGTCTATAGAAACTTACCAGGCCGTTAAACGTGCGTAATTGCTTGACGGTGGTCGGTTCTGGGTAATCCAGAATGGCCGCCACTTTGGTCCTAAGAGGTCGAATGCCTTGAGCATCGATAGTGTGTCCTAGGAAGTCTAACGAGTCGGTTCCGAATTGGCATTTCTGAACGTTTACAGTTATGCCATGTTTTTGAAGTCGTTCGAAAACAAGATCCAGATGCTTGAGATGTGTTTCTCTGTCCGGACTTGCGATTAGACAGTCATCAACATACGCGTGTACGAAGTTGAGGCCTCGAAAAACGTCGTCTATGAATCTTTGGAATGTTTGAGCAGCATTCCTTAGACCGAAAGGCATTCGCAAAAATTCATAGAGTCCGAAGGGAGTTATGATAGCCGTTTTCGGTATGTCGTCAGTAGCCATGGGTATTTGGTTATACGCTTTAACCAAGTCGATTTTCGAAAAGACAGTTGTACCTTTCAAAGTGGCTGTCAAATCGTGAATGTGAGGCAACGGGTAACGATCGGGAATGGTTTTCGCGTTCAATCGCCGATAGTCACCAGTTGGACGCCAATCGTTGCTGTCCTTTTTAGGGACCATGTGCAACGGAGATGCATATGGGCTACTTGACGGTCGTATGATTCCTAAGTCCATCATGTGATCGAATTCGTTTTTCGCTAACCTTAGTTTTTCAGGAGCTAGTCGGCGTGCTTTAGAAAATACAGGTGGTCCTGTAGTCGTGATGTGATGTGTAACATTGCTGGTTACACACGGTAGTTTCGTTTGAGTTTGTTGTATCTCAGGGTACTTATCGAGTAGTGGTTGATAGAGTGGGTCTATCATATGTTTAACTGTGACTGGGGATACTCTACAACCAGTAAGAGAAGTTACGCAAACGGACAAATTAGTGTTACCGTCTACTAGCCTCCGTTTGCGCGTGTCGATGATCAGATTGTGGTGTTGTAGAAGGTCCATACCAATGATTGGCATAGAAACATCTGCAACAACGAAAATCCAGTGGATGGGTTTGCGTAAACCCACGTTAAGGTAAACGTACCTTTTGCCATACGTAGCGATCGGTTTTCCATTTGCCGCCTGTAAGTTTAGGGTCGATTCGTGTAGTCGGTCGTTAGGATTTGCTGGGAGAACGCTAACTTCTGCGCCAGTGTCGACGAGGTAACGAACTCTCGTTGTCACATCTGTGACGAATAACAGACGGCTTTGTTCGCCGGCTACGGTTGCCGTTAACGCGTGCCGGCTTGGAAGTTTCCCGAATTGCTTTTCGAATCAGTCGGTTTCGTGTTGGGAAAATTGCAGGGTTTTCTGCAATTTCTGGAAAACTTTCCATACTGGTTATGATACCAGCACCAGTCGGGGTTATCTGTCTCTCGTGGTCTAGAGACAGATCGCTTACGAGAAATGCTTCTACGTGGTGTGCGCGATCTCTTACGGTCGTTACGAAGACTAAGATAACGCGTGAGTGTGTGACATAAGTCGTTTATATCATTCTGAGTCGTTTGAGGTTTTTCTTTGACTGAAAATACCTCGGTAGTAGATTTCGTAATTTCTAATATGCGGTCGGCAGATGCAGCTAGCTCGTCTAAGGCGTTGTTCTGGAACGAGACCAGAACTGCTTGCACCTGTTGGGGAAGTTTTGACAAGAAGAGTTGTTTGAATAGGCCTTCGTCGAAAGTTCTTGGGCCTATAACCTCTCTCATCCGTTGCAACATGTCTGTCGCAGAACCGTGTTGCAGGTCGATATTGTTGAAGAGTTGATCTAACCTTTGTCGATCGGTTAGGTCTCCTCGTTTAAGAATCGAGCGTTTTAAGATTTCGTAAGGATCGGAAACATCACTAGTAAACATACTAGGTGTTACGTACCTGTTGAATTCGCGCGGTAGTGCCTTGACTACTGCGAGGAATTGTGCACGTGTGTCGATCACGCCGTGCTGGGAGAAGTCGGCTTCTGCGTAGCAAAACCAGGCTTCGATGTTGTCGGGCCAGAAAGGCATGAGTTGAAACGAAGGCGGGGACAAAGTCTTAAGCTTGAGTACTTTAGGTGTCTGTTCAGTCATGATGAAGTATGAAGTACGATAATGAACAAGGGGAAAATATATATATCCAGGAAAAAAAACGAAAAAAAAATCACAATGTTTAAAAAAGTTAAAAAAAATAAGGCAATGATATATAAAAATCCCAAAAAGGAACAGACTCACAGTTGCAATTAGGTGTACCAGATCACGTCGGTTTCACCAATGATGATGTCACAGGTATTCAGTGTTTGACAACGCTTCTACCAGTAACACCTTCTAATATATTTCGTTCCCGCCCAGAGAAATCAAAAGACAGAGTCGAGGAGATCGGAAGAGTATATTTGGCGATGACCAATATATCGGAATTCTCTGATCTAATCTGGCTAGCGATTGCGGTTGATGTTGAGCACGGCGTTACCACACGTGATCTGGTGCGGATGACTGACCGAGCGCCTTCAGCTAGGTGAGTCCACTAAAACATATGGTCAGCATCCAATGTCGAAAACTTAGTGCTATTTATTTTGGGGATTTATTTACCGCTACACTAGCGTTCGGTGACCATATTGCAACACACATTTTATGCAGTACCATTGTGAAAGCAGATCATAGGAAAAACTACATTAACTATGCTATTCACCTACTATACAGTCATATTGTGGTGTTTGAATTAACTAATGATTCTTTTGTACTTGTTGAATACTTGATTTCGAATTCTAAATACAATACATTCGTTTGTGCCTGTGTCTTCTTAGTTCAATTGCGTTAGTCCTGGAATTCCTAGTTCATACTATAATTAGAATATTATATTGGCGTCGCGATGGAACCTGCAATGGAAAAGTTAGATATTCATTCAACTTCAGAAGCTTTTGAAGATTACTTTGAAAGGTTCGAAATCTTGGCTATGACCAAGGAAGATGATGAGGATGTTAATATTGTGGCACACTTCCTCACATTCATTGGGAGAGAAGCGTACAGCTTATTAAAAACTTTGGCATGTATTAACTACGAAGCAGTCAATGAACTTGATATCCAGTCGATGAAGATTTCTGATACTTTGCTTAGTCATCATGGTGAACTACAATCTCAGGGTCAATCAAATTTGCGTTCATTTAACAGTGATTCCTATTCTCGTGTAAATATGAAAGGTGTTTCAACGAGGAATTACAAAGCAAATCACAAAGGTGAGATGAAGTTTGGTAAATGTTTATCATGTGGAAAGTTTCATGCTCGCAATCCATGTGTATTTCGTAATGCTAAATGTTTTAAATGTGGTGAGGTAGGACACATTCAGTCAGTATGCAAAGCTACTGTCCATTTTACTTCAAGCTGTACTAAATCTTGTAATTTAAATTTCAATAATTCGGATGTTTCTAATGATCATTTATCTTTATCAACGATTTCAAAAGATAGTGAAGAGTCATATGACAGTTCAGAGTTAGATGAAATCCAGAATTCTTGTGAGACAACAGTTTCTGATCAACCGATTTATCAGAATTCTCATGCTATTGTACCAGGTATGACTTTTCCTAATGATTCACATATTTCTAATGAAATTACTTGCAATTCTGAGGAAAATATGTTAAATGAACCTAATCATGATCGAGAACCTGATGTGGTTTGGATAGATGTTGATTTTTCTAACGATCCTACGCTCTGCAATGACAGTCCTAATGAATTTCATGAGAATAATTCAGAAGAATCAAATCCTGATGTCATATCATATATTACCTATCCTCATGATGTATTTGATCTTCGTGAAAAACCTGCCCAATGCGAAGCACGAGTACTAAGTGACCTCGAGTTTTATTATATTTCGGATGATTTCATATCAGCTGCTGTTTACTCTTATCACAAAAACAGTTCTAATGTTTACTCTAAACAATGTGAGATATATGTTTTAAATGAAGCCACATTATTCATAACTTGGGAGTATAAAGATCCAACATTATTTCGTGGGGGGGGGATAGTGTTGAAAAATCTATGGTTCGAATTCTAGATATTAATGATTTCATTACAAAACCGACATGCTGGTTGTATACAATTCCAGGTGAGGCTGTTCCGATTTCGTTTGTTAATTCCAATACTAATGAGCACTTTCTAGATACTACAAAGTTTTTATCTTATACAATGTCGGACAGACTCAGGATGAACTTAACAAGAAGACGTACAACCGATTACAAACACTTATACTTCTATTTAAGCTGTGGCGGATGTGGTGTTTGAATTAACTAATGATTCTTTTGTACTTGTTGAATACTTGATTTCGAATTCTAAATACAATACATTCGTTTGTGCCTGTGTCTTCTTAGTTCAATTGCGTTAGTCCTGGAATTCCTAGTTCATACTATAATTAGAATATTATACATATGCAATTCTGGTACAAGATAACGCGTTAAAATGCTAAAGTTACTAAATATTGTTGAGTACCTGCAAACTAACATTGATATTCTCGATATAACAGTGTCGATCTATCCCTTGAAAGAAACCTATCAAACAACAAACTTTTCTAACAGACATTCAGAGAGAAACTGTGATCAACCGCTCCACGCCATAACCCTGATTTCAGGTGAAAAAGACGATTTCTTCAGTAGTTCGGCACCATATTACATTAAAGGGAATTTGATGGAGTAAAACCATTTCCGTAGATTCTGTACTAACGATACAAGCTTTACCCGATTAATGTAAATTGGGGATTACGCAACAAACAACGTATCATGCGAACTCGATTGCCTTAGTACAGGAGTTATGGAAATCATATTTCGGCATTCGTTATTGGTCGCGTTAAGCCTATCTGCTACGGCATGTGCCACAATATTATGGGTTTCAAGATGATTACAAGCGTCAGTTCAAATAAGGAGCAAGGGGTAAGTGTATAATTAGCAATCTCACCTTACTCTGGGGATAATGTGATTAACCGTGGACATCCGGTGCCTTGAAAGTGTCTAGTATCCAGCGTTTCTGGTATAAAATAATCAAGATAGTGCTCTCTTTATGTGGTGAACAAGGAAAGACTACAGATAGCGTGAACCATCTTATATACTTTGGAGATGCAGAAGAATATAGCTCGGCATTTCCTCAAGGTAAACCCTGGAAAATTACTCTTCTTCCGTCCGCGTATTGAGCATAAGAGAGCCGCCTTCATTATATTCAAATTTCGAGACTCAGGGACAATGTAAATAAGTGAATCAAAGACACAAAACATACTTATCACTGTTCATCTGTAACTCTGCTTCGAGGACAAAAGAAGTGAGACTATTACGTGGGCTATTGGTCGCAGAGTATGCAGTAGCTAAGTTAGTAACGTTATAGTTTTAACATTCGACAACAATAACACCCAAGTGTAAGACATATATGCTAACTGAATTATTTTTGCGAATCACTAATAGATATTTGAAACATTCCAAGTAATTACCAGATAACATATTAAAACCTCTGATGCAACTTTATGAGACTATCTCGGATGAAACTTTAGCAAAATTATATATTTTAATCGTCTGTCCGGTCTTAAGCAGGTTTGAATGCATCAACATTCAGTATTCCTATATCTGTATCTGGGTTGGTGAACTCTAATTCCTATTTGTAGTTTTCCAGTTACTATGGGTTCCACAATGTACTATGTAGTATATCTTTCCACATTGGATTTAGTAGACCGAACAAAGCAGGAGGTAGTTACATGAAGAATTATAAAACTCCGCAGATTAAAAGATTTAGAATGTACAGCTTGTAGAGTTTTGAATATTAGTAAAACTAAGGTATTTGACTGTTTTATGGAGAATGATGGACACATCCTCTGGAGAAAGGTGAATTACAAGCAAACTGTCCTCATTATGTACACTTATGATTGCATAGCTTCCTTTTTATTGAAACAAGTAATGTCAATTTTAATGTTATAGTGATCAATGGTTCATTTTCCTCTATTTTTAAATGTGTTAAATTTATATATCCAGGTGGGTATTTTTGACAAGTTCATAGATTTACCATTATTTGTTTCTGAAAAGTCTTTGAACCGATGTTTTCGTGTTATATGTTGAAAAAGTGACCAACTACTACGTTGTTAATCTGTTTTTGATTTATTAGTGATACATCAACAGCTAATATTGATGTTACACAAGACGGCTCCTACAGATTCAAATACAATAAGTATCAATATTTATTAAAGTTGAATTTTAAAGCGCAAGCTTTCTTTCATGATGTGATTTTCCACCGCATAATGTTTTTCCAGACAAGAAATATAGAGACAAACCGTATACAAAAATATCATATAAAGATTATTTAAGTATATTTTATTAAATAGATAAAATGACTGATAATAAGATAGTTCGTTCTGAAATTAAAATCATCACCTCCCATATATATGATAAAGCATAACGTAAACACATCATTTAATTCTCTGACCAACCAACAGTCCAAGTAAAAATACACCAATAACTGTTAGACCAAACGATATTTTTTGTGATGAATTCAATGGACACTGATTTTCCTTCTGAAATAAACATAAATTGAAAACATACAATTATAGATACAAATAAAAGAAACAAAAGGAATAATAATAGTGCTATCAACAGTTTACCAGCTATAGTCCTTTATCTCATGATCATCGTTGCAACAATTGAATAGTTATGGATAAGTTTGTGCTTATATTACTCGAATAAAATGGTAAGGTTGTAAAAAGTGATATTTCAAGTAAATGTTTATTATGATAACTGGATATGAAGTTGAATTGGAGAAGATAACGCGTATTATACAAAGTTATAAAAATTTTTTTTATTTATGTACCTGCACTGAAAATACATTTGAGGAAGATGCTGTCGACTAAAACACTAATATATATACATACGTTAGACAGCATGTGAACTTTGCAATTATTTTTTGAAGACTGTTTACTTAATTTCCGATTGTAGGAGAAAACTCGATAGTCTGATTTGGCAACAGAGATTGAAAACAACTACTGAAAATAAATGATAAGCAACCAAATTTTTCTGTACCAAAAGAAGTGACCCCATTACTTTATACAAGTTTCAAAACATATAAATCACTACTTCATTTCCCATGGTAGTTACCAATTCATATGTGAGTGGCAACACATAAAAACAAAGAACAATTGAAATGTAAATTTGATGATAATAAGAAATGATTTTAAACTCATTTGACAGCACAATTCCAAATCAGTAATGGGATAGGTGAATTGTGCAAATTCATATCAAAGTAAAGTGTTGAAGTGTCTATTTGAAACAAACGTAGATTAGATTTTTTATGTCATTAGGCTATACTTTTCTCTATAGAAGCTCTAGCCCTCAGAAGATTTCAACCTCTCTTACATCATTAAAATCATCAGTGATGCGAAAACTAACCATTCCTGTCATACATTAATTATTTGATCTTTTTTTAGTTTTCCTACTAAAATATAGTTAGTGGGCGTAGACAAATAAACATTCAGCATGCTAAATGCTCTGATACTAATCAATATCATGAGTTTCTTTCTATTATTGTTCTCTACTCTGACTTCACTGGGTATGTAAACTTTCAGTATTTGTGCTATATAAACCATTCATTAATTATTCCCACAGAGACATGTACGATATGAGTTGAGTGGGAAAATACTACTTTTTTAGTTATTTCTTTTACATGACCCTACACTAATATTAAAAAGTTTTAGTATTAAATATTATTTCAATGGTTGAGATCATGAGTCAGTTGAAGCTAGACCACCATGGAAAACCTGGAAGCACTGGAAGGCCGTTTAGTCTTATTGTGGGACTCATCAGCAGTGCGCATTCACGATCTCGCCCCTCCTGAGAGATTCGAACCCAGGACCTATCAGTTTCACACGCGAGCGCTTAACCACTAGACACTGAGCCGGCACATAAAACTTATTAGTTTTGACAATTAACAGATTATGAAATTCCATATTTTTTGTGTTATAAAACTGGTTACCGTATTGTTAAGTTAATTCATCATCGTCTATTGGTATTGATTTTCAATTTCATTGTAAAACCTATACAATATCAGTGCAATTCTTTAATACGTAATTATTTGAGCGGAAATACATTAATGTCTGGTCTATTAGATAGTCATCATCAGTGAATGTATCAATCAATTATTAGACATATGTAATGATTAAATTTATACGGATTTTTCATTATTGAAAAATTTTAAAAAAGAAATTAAATATATCACTTATGAATAGTTACTTAGTTTATAGACACATATCGTAACAGTTATAGCAACAAATTAAAAATGACTCGAAATGCCAGTTACTATCGAGTATCATGGCATAGAACAAAATGAACGATAAATATATTTATGATAGGCTTTAGACTTTCGGGTAAATGAACGCTTAAAATAAAATACGAGTAATGGATTATTAGAAAATAGAATCAACTTTTTTAACTACACATACAATAATGTTCTTATCAGGAGGGGTTTAGTGGAGATTTTAGCAATTAGCTGAAGTTAGACATTAACACCGTTGAATGACGGCCGGCTCAGTGGTCTAATGGTTAAGCGGTCGCGCGCGAGACTGATAGGTCCTGGGTACGAATCTCGCGGGGGGCGGGATCGTGGATGCGCACTGTTGAGGAGCCCCATACTAGGACGAAACGGTCGTCCAGCGCTCCCAGGTTTTTCATGATGGTCTAGCCTCAAATGACTCATGATTTCAACTATCGAAATAATAGTTCTACTAAATGATGCAAAATAATGAATAGAGAGAGGGAAAAATAAATGAACACATTAAACAGAATTTCATTTACTTTAATTTTCTTCTCATCTTCATGTTGATCAGTACAGATATGGTCCAATAAATCGAAAAGTGTATTCTGTGATTCACTTATTGATTTATTCGATATCCAGTTTAAACTTCGTTTAACTGATTCATGCCAACCGTATAATTTAACGGCGCGATCATTTGAATTAATTTTTGAATAAAATGTTGACTGATATTCATCTGGTTTATTAGTCGAATATTCTCGAATTTTTAATAATCCAGTTGGATTAATATCCAGTGCTAGTGCCACAGTAATTGCCGCACCTAATGCAGTCATAACATCAGAATGATTATGACGTCGAACAGTTACATCTATTCAATGAAAAATAAAATAAATAGAGCAGATAAGTAAACAGTATGAAATAAACAATTACGTACTAAATATTGTATCAGTAGTATTAAGTTGATCAGTTAACCGATTATTTTTATATATGAAATGTAACACAAGTTTTGCTAGCCGGTAAAATCCATGAAAATCAAATGTATACTTCAAATAAGGAGAGATTGTTTAGGTTTAGGTTGAACTT